TTGCACCCTTTCGGTAGAAGGGAACAGAAAAGACTTGTACTGCTCGCTCCTGAAGGTCTTTTCAATAGGTTTTAAGAAACCAGTTTCTTGAAAAGAAAAGCATGCCCAGAACATTATACCGAACGGATGCTTGACAGTAGTTACTGTTAAATTTAAAGAGCTTTCAAAGCTTCTTCTTCGGATTTTAGATCGCTTATCCTTTGAAATTAGCTCAAATTTCGTTTCATCGAAGAAGAGAACATTTAGTAAAAAAAAATCAGGCGAGTCACTTTCATCGAACATCATTGTATTCAGTAATTATACCATTTTCAGTATTAGAAAAATATATATATATATATATATATATATATATATATATATATATATATATATATATATATATATATATATGCATATATATATATATATAAAGGAAATAAGAAATGTGTTTCATTAAGTTTAAGGGTTTTGAAGACATATATTATTATAATCTGAAATTTCTGGCTTTAAATAACCTGCAACGAATCAGTCAATCAATGTAGAGTGGGATGGATTGAATAAAGAAAAAAAAGCACCGTTGAAATTTATAGGACACCTAATCATAGAAGAAGGTTTTGAAAATAGAACACACTGAGGATATAAAATCTGTACAGTGTGATGGGAGAAAGAGGAATAGGGTGTTATAAATCTATAAAGAAAAAAAATATACAATCATTTGTATTTAAAATTAATCCGCGCATTGGATTGGTTGTGTGGTGGAGAACCATGACCACTCAAGAAGAGAAAACATTCGGATCGGCTTGGTGATGGGGTGTATGATGTTGAAATACCCTAAAATCCCTGATGAATCAATTTCCATCACTGACTGCTCTCTCCGGTGCCCTATTTAAGATCATATATTAAAAAAAAAAAATCGCCACAATTAAATTCTACAGAATAAAAAATATGTTCTTAAACAATAGTTTAAAGAAAATATATTTTTAGGCATGAATAACACATTATTGATTAGGAGTCTTTCGTATTTCTTTAGGTTTTATTTTTATTTTATCGCGCGCTTTTTCGGACAGAGTGTTCACTTACAGTATATTTTGTCCTTTGACCACACAAGCTACGATGTGTAAAGAAAACATTTTCTTTACTTTTTAAGTAAAGGCAAGCATTACTTTTAGAAAATCTAGTTAATTAAGTCTTAAATTTAGTAGAAGACTTTTAAACAAATCTCTAGGATAAATATTGCATTTTAAAAAGAATTTTAAATTTCTTGTTTACATGTTTTCATATAGAATGGCGACTCAGTTAGTGACGAAAAAAACATGCCAATGTTTTAAAAACACCTAAAATTATCTTTCTGATCGAACCGAAATTTAAGTTCAAGGAAGTATTTAGATTATTTAAAAACGTTTTTTTTTTCTTTTTTGGAAAGTCTGTGGCGGTACATATACGAAGATAGATTATTCCGAATTTTAAAAAAAATAATTAAACCAATGTTTAATAAAATAGATTCAATAAAATAGCTTCGTATCTAAATAATTAAATTCCTGAACTATTGGAATTTACTTGTTTGTGATCTTTTGAAAAACTGCGTACGATTCAATTAATACATTCGTATGGATTACCTGCCCTTGAAAGGCGTCACCAACGTTTTACAGACATAGACCATAGCTCAGTTATAAATATGGCATACGAGTATTGTCACTGAAATGATCAATCAACTGTAAAAATGGCGGCAGTTGTCTGGAGTTTCGGACTCTGTATAAGTTATTAAATGATATACGCATATGTTCTTATTCATTTCGATCACAAGTAGAATAAAATCAGGTATACGTAGCTTTGAAGGAATTAAATAAACTGACAACTGAAGTTTAATTAATAAAAAAAGGGTCAATAGAAAGAAAGTTTAGTAGTTATTTTTTTCATTTCTATTCTACAGATAATTTTACAACTTTTTTTGTCTAAAGACTCTCTATTAAAAAAAGATTCTTTGATTCATTTGTGGAAAAATGTTTTTGTGTTCCTCCTCCCACAGAAAGAATATAAATGTTTTTACATGGAGCTACGCGCTTTTCCAATTTGAACACTGCTCTGTCTTATCTTTCGCCCTCAACTCCCCACACTCTAACACCCCACTTTCAACTCCCCACTCTACAATTCCCCAGACCACAATTCTCCACAACTCCCCACACCTCAACTCCCCACTCCTCAGACCACATTTCACCCCTCCACAACTACCCACACCGGAACTCCCACACACACGAACTACACACATCTCAACTCCCCTACGCCCAAATTCGCTACACTACAACTCCCCAGACAACAATTCCCTCTCCACAACTCCCCACACCGACTCCCCACATACCAAATCCCCACACTATAATTCCCATTCCACAAAACCCCACAGCCCAACTCCCCACTCAGCAACTCCCAGACCGCAATTCGCCATTCCACAACTCCCCACACACACACCCCGTTCGAACTCCACACATTTCAACTCTCCACACCCCAACTCCCCAACATCTACCCCATACCCCAGCTCCCCACACCAAAACTCACGATTCCACAACTTCCCACACCCCCAACTCTTCTTCCACAACTTCCCCTCCTACCCCCCACATCTCAACTGCACAAACCACAACAGGCCCTCGTTGGATTTTATTCCGATGTTTTGTTTTTTTTTGGTTTAATTTTTTGTGTCATTATACAAAGAAGAATACAGATGTCTTGTGAAGAAATTTAAAAAAAATTTTTGTTAATTTTCTGAAATGTATAATCAATAAAATATTTCTTACCAAAATTTTCCATTTTTAATCCAAAGACCACAATTTCAGAAAAAAAAATTAATGAGAAAATGGCTTACCTGTAAAAAAAAAATCGAAGAAAGCAACTTCAGAATTAAAATCAACAAACAATATCAAATCTGATTTACAATAATGACAATTAAACAAAATATGTCAGTTTTGATATTTTACGGTTTATCACCCTTTTTGAGGTTATTTAAAAACGAAACATATTTTTAGATTGTAAGTATCAACTGTAATTTAAAACGTACATAGAACCCATAACATTAATTTCTCGTATACCATGTGGCAGCTTCAATACAATCCTGGAAATATTCAAAGACTGAATTCTTTGAGAACTGATCACGTGTTAGATTTATTTGAGAGTGAGGAATTAATTTCCACCTGAAAAACCCAGCCCCAAATTCCAGGGTCAATTGACATCTATACTAATCGTCCTCATACTTTTCACCTCGTTTAAAATCACACTTGAAATTGGGCATCCCTTGGATTCGGTGAATTATCAGTAACATACATACATATATATATATATATATGAACAAATCCATAGGTAAGTAATTCAGGTAGATCCTATTAATATAAAGTATTAAAACTGATCCACAAATGAGAGATCAGCATAGATTTTATTATTATAGAGCATATATTCCCTCTCCTTTTATTCGTTCCTTTTTCTTCTTTCCTTCCATTGACTTTCATATTTCCTGTGAAGAAACGTGGGAATTCATTCATTTTAATAACTATAGTTGCATTGATAATTCCAGGGAAAACAAAACACTTTCCCATGGGCGAAATGACCATCTGTCTGAGGTAAATTGCTTCCATCACATTATATATATATATATATATATATATATATATATATATATAGAGAGAGAGAGAGAGAGAGAGAGAGAGAGAGAGAGAGAGAGAGTGATCACATTAATATATATATATATATTTTATATACACATACATATATTCTATATATATATATATATATATATAGAGAGAGAGAGAGAGAGATCACATTAATATATATATATATATATATGTACATATATTCTATATATATATATATATATATATTACTCATTAATTAATTTCACAAATAGAAATCTTCAAGGGTATGTGTTGGAGTTCTGTTAATGATAATTATTAGGGCTAAATGATGGAATTTCACTCTTTGTAGCTTTCTGTCCAATCTATATAATAAATGCGAATGTCTGTGTCATACTTCTTCATCTTTACTCCTAGAGGCTGTAGCCTAATTATAACAATTTAGAATCAGGCCGTAAGCAAATTAAAAACATTCCGGGCTGGATCCAAACCTGCAAATCTGAAGTTATGGATTCCCAATTTTCATTTCTGTGATTGTTTTCGGCGAATTTTTAAGTGATTTTTTGAGACGAATTTTTTGTACGATAACAATTTTTGTAACTTGAAATTAAATTTGAGAATAATCGAAATTAATTGCGAAATCTAGCATAAGTCACCCATGAAATAAAAATAATTGTTTGTACGGGGAGTAATGTCGTACGTACATCAAATTATGTAGCGGTAAAAAAAAAAAATTCTCGTTGAACTTTTGAAAGGTAAGCTTAAATTTTAATGCAATACTTAATTGCAGCGATCAATTTTGAAATATTTTGTAATTTATTGTTGCTTACCGCATCTCCTCCTCTTATTGTGATGAAGGACCAATCAAAAATCCTCTGCAGGAGCTAGTGTAAATGCCACCCGATAGGCCGGCTTTTAAAGTAGTATTCTAATAATGTGCTGTTCCACATCAGGCAGAATCTGGAATATATCTGCCGTAGATTGGCAGACGCTTCACAGTCTTCACTTTAAAGTCACAATGGAGTCCAAAAGCGTCTCCTTGTCTTTGTCCTTGACGAATTATTTCACACCCAACGAGCCTATTCTCACAGACGAAATCCTCTCACGGCTCTATCGCTATTTCCATGGAAAATGTTCAGACCAACTACATTCGTTGGTGTCACCAGTTCTAAACTTCACGTCTTAGACCCGCCATAAGACGCACATTGTAGCGACAATATTTCATTGGTGAGATGTAAGTTGCACTCTAGCAGGTTTTCCCACTAACCGCTGGTTTGGGGAAGCGACTCACAAGAGGATGCTTCACCGATCACTACAATCTTAACCTGTTCAAGCCTAGGGTTAACTATTGTCTTCCCCATATACCTCTAGGCATCTTACGGTAATACTGTACCTCCAGAGCATTTCACATTTAATCACCGGTTCTCATATGATTACCGAAGTTAAGTATGATCGCGATTGATCAGTACCTAGATGGGTGACCGTTGGAAAACACCAAGTGCTGTAAAGGGGTGTAGTGTGTAATGGCTCGGAATTGTAAATCGGAGAGCCGAGTTCCAATTCCAGTTGGGTTCGTTATAATGACTTACTCGCAAATAAATTTGGGAAAGATATGAATCTCTCTATCCACGACACTCAGCTATATGTTAATTACTAAAATCTGTATCATTGAATCATTGTCATCTCCCCTTCCACCCCCAAATTATTAAAATCCATAAATATTTTCTGGCTTTAAATAACCCGAAAAGGGATGATACGCCGTAGAAAACTAATCAATCAATTTATAAACGTGTATATCGATTGGCACCTTGAATATAAATTGCTATACAAATGAAATGAGACAAGGATGTTGTTGATTTTCTCTTATATCTTTAAAATTTATGTATATACAAATCTTAAATTAAGGCATCTATTCACAAACGTTAACATGAATATCCTACAGTGGACATCGGTGCAAATAACTGAACATGAAAGTAAAATTTGAATATTATTTTTTATTTCTGTTATTAATTTTACTATTAATATTAATTTATGCAGTAAATTATTATATTTTATTTGTTTAAATAATTCGGTAAAATTTTAAGAAAATTCTAATTGAACTTTAATAATTTTTTTAGTCCCAGGTTGACAATTTTGTTGTCTTCTTCTGTTGTAGATATTTACTTGACCCCCCCCCCACTGAGTCAGGTTGTGACACAAGGTCAGTTTTTAACGTGGGGACCCGAATGCTTTCACTCGGGCTGCTGGTCCAAGCTGGTCTTAGCTGGTCATAGCTTGTCCAAGCTGGTCAGAGCTTGTCTAAGCTAGTCATAGCCGTGATAGCACCAGCCCAGGGACGACCCCCTGTGCCAGGTAAGTATGAAGATTTGATTATTGCACGGGATTTTCACACTATTTTTCTTTTTGTTACCTCTTTGACACCAATTTTCGACCAATGATTTCAGCAGCCTAGAGGAGATTAAAAAGAATCTACTGTAGAATTTCATATTTGAGATAACTGACCAATATTCACTGCCATAAAATAGGATGGCTATGACATTGCAGGTTTTCTAATAATTTGTTTTCTATTTTTGTAAAATTTACTTAGATTCTGAAAGGCATTTTTTTTAATTCCAATACAACTTTGGATTCCTGTCACAATTTGCAATCCACTTTCGAATTATTGTTACATTTTTCGCCGTCGTCAAGAACGCTGCCGTATTATTTTGACTAAAAACATTTTTAAGTTAATTTTTAATTCCTTTTTTATATAATTGCAAATGTCGGTTATAAAATATTTTTCGAATATTGGACATTGTGCCTGATTTACAGATCTAATTTAACTGTCCGGACAAAAGTTTTCTTTCGACATTGTTATCAGACTGCAATTGCAAGATTGGTTAGTTGTTCCTCATGCACTCACAGGAATCAGAATAAAATAAAAGTAAAGAAAAACGAAACAGTTTTATAAGTTCCAAACATTTTTTTTTGTCTTTGCTTTTAGATTTTGATGTTGCATAATTTTTTATAAGTATGCAGTAAGTCAGTATAAATGGAGAGCGTGGGTGGGTAAACATTCGACTCCAGACAAATGAATATTACAGGTTGATATTGTGAAATGTTGGCATATCAGTGCGCTAAAACCGAATTCAGATTGGGTCGTTGTGAACGAGATTGAAAGGGTGAAATACAGACTGAGCTTCAAGAAAAACCCATCAAACGCTATTAGTGGAATTTTAGCTGAATGAATTTGACGCGTGAGCAAAGGCCTGCGATGCTATCCTGTCAGGCATACCGAAAAAAAAAAAAAACAGTGTTAGAGAATTAGTGACTTGCTTCAATCACTGACACAACCATCAAGGATTTATTTTCTTTTTCTTTTTTTTTGTCTTCTCGATTTTAGTTTTCCTTTGGTTTCTACCAATTTTCTATCATTTTTTCCTTTTATTTATTTTTTTTTCTTTTTCTTTTTTTCTTTGTTTTTCTTTAGTTTTTTTTTCTTGTTACTTTAGCTGCATTCATTCTTTCGGATTCCTTTCTTCTTTCTTTTTGTCTCATATTTTTCATTCATTTTCTTTTTTTTTCGTCTCTTTCTCTTTTGTTTTTCTTTCGTTTCTTTCTTGTTACTTTAGGTGAATTCATTCTTTACTCGGTACTTTCCTTCGGATTCCTTTCTTTTTTCTTTCTTTCCAATATTTTTCATTCTTTTTCTTTCGTTTTTTTTTCTTTCGTCTGTTTTCTTTTCTTTTTCTTTCTTGTTACTTTAGGTGAATTCATTCTTTACTCGGTACTTTCCTTCGGATTCCTTTCTTCTTTCTTTCTTTCCAATATTTTTGATTCTTTTTCTTTCGTTTTTTTTTTTTTTTTTTTTTCGTCTTTTTTCTTTTCCTTTTCTTTAACTTTAGGTGAATTCATTCTTTAGTCGGTACTTTCCTTCGGATTCATTTCTTCTTTCTTTCTGTCTAATATTTTTTATTCTCTTTCTTTTTTTTCTTTTCTTTTTCTTACGTCTTTTTTTATTTTCTTTCTCTTTATTTTTTTTTTTTACTTCAGCTGACTTCATTCGTAGTCGGTACTTTCCTTCGGATTCTTTTCTTCTTTTTGTCTGATGCATTTTTCTCTTTCTTTTTTTTCTTTTTCATTCGTTTTCTTCTTATTACTTAAGCTGCATTTATTCTTTCGTCCTTGCTTTTTCCTTCAGATTCTGATTTCTTTCTCTCTGCCTCATATTTTCTTTCTTTTTCTTTTCTTTTCTTTCGTTTTTCCTGTTACTTCAGCAGCATTCATGCTTTAGTCGTTGCCTTTTTTTTCTTCAGATTCTTTTCTTCTTTCTTTCTATCTGATCCCTTCCCTTCATCTTTTACTTCGATTTCTTCTTTACTTCCACTCAATTCTTCTTTTTCTTCCCTTTTTTCTTCTTCTCTTTCTATTCCCGTCGTCTGATCAATTTTTCTTATTCTTCCTCACCTATCTTCCAATTTCTTAATCATTGTCTTGAACTCACTCAGTTATTTCCTTTCTTTTTATCCTCGGTATTTATTCTGATTACCTTGTCGGCCTACTTCTTCTTTTCCTTCTCTTTTCTTTCTTTTCTTCCTCATAGATTTTCTTCCTTGTAATTTCTTTTCCTTTTTAGTCTTTTTCTTTTATCTTTTTTTACTCTTTTTTTCTTCATCATCTCACATTTATTTCATTCTCTCTTCTTCTTCTTCTGGCTTACGGTCATATCACGTTTAAACACCGGTTCTAGTAGTTTCACCGAAGTTAAGCAACTTAGAGACTGGTTAGCAGTTTCCTCTTGAGTATACTTGGGGTATACCTCGGGCTGTAATCACGGATGTGTGCGTGGTGTATAGAATAAGAGCTGGAGTTCCAATTCCAGTTGGTTTCGTTGTATTCAATTACGAGTAAGTATTTTTTGAAGGTATGAATCCAGGTCTTCTCCCCCAGTTATGGGTTAATTAGTAGGATACGACATGATTATCTAAAAAAAAAAAGAAAGAATCGTACAATCTAAAAGTATTTCCTGATTTTGAATATGCAGCAAAATGTTGATAAGCCTCAAAAATCGAATTAATCGTTCAATCAATCAATGTCCTTCTTCCCTGCACGGCGAAGACCCTCTCTGGTTCACTGGGCAGACATTTTGAGATCTCGACGAGAATTATTTTCGACTGCTTTCCAAAAGGAGAGGTGCATCTGAAGCTGTGATATAATGTGAGTTCTGGGTTTTCGGCATGAGTAATCCAAAGGAAATGAAATCTATTGGATACAAATAATGATAAAAAAACGAAAAAAAAAAAATTGAAGTTAAAGAAACGTAGCAAGTGAGGAAGGCAGAGCGAGAGGGGGAGATAGAAAAAAGAGAAGGTAGAGGGGAGAGAGAGAGAGATAAAGAGAGCGGGTGGAAGGGAGATGTTGAGTGTGAGAGAGGGGTAGAAGGGGATATGGAGAGGGAGAGAGAATGGGAGTGATGGAGAGGGAGAGAGATAAGGAAAAAGATGGTGAACGAGAGGCAGATTAGAGAGAGAGAGAGGGGAAGAGAAAGGATATGTGTGTGTGTGCATATATACACACACAAATATATATATATATATATATATGTGTGTGTGTGTGTGTGTAATCATTTATTCGATTATAACTTAATAATTATAAAAATAATTATAAAATCATTACAAAAATTGCCATTTTGTTTCAACACTTCTGGTGTCTTATCAATTTATTCAGTATATATATATATATATATATATATATATATATATATATATATATATATATATATATATATATATATATATATATATATATATATAATTATTTATTTAGAAAATTTATAACATAAACATGTTATAAAATCACTACAAAATACCATTTTGTTTCAACACTCCCAGTGTCTTATCAGGTGATGATGTTGAATGCAAAACAAATGTTTTTTTCCATTTATTTTACATTCAACATCATCTCTTGATAAGACACCGGGAGTTTTGAAACAAAATGGCTAATTTTTAGTGATTTTATAACACGTTTATGTTACAAATTTTCTAAATAAATAATTATATCTGCTCTACTTTGTATTGAGCACTCTTTTAAGAATAGTAATTGTTTGTTATTGAATTCATTCCGTATATACCAATTATATACTTGTATATATATATATATATATATATATATATATATATATATATATATATATATATATATATATATATAAATTTCCAAGAGGATAGAATCCTGGTAGAACTCAGTGTCCAGCACAGATTAAGGATATAATAAAAAATAATAAAAAAAATGGTCATAATTTATTACATTGGAATCGTAATTACGATCCAATTCTTCAGACCTACAAATTCAAAAAGAAAACAGAAAAAACTACGGGAATAAAAAAGAAAATTTAGTGAGAGTGTATGTATGAGAGTGGAGGACAAATGTGAAAGGTAAATGAAAGCTTTAGAGAGGGGTAACAGACAAAAGAAGAACAGGAAGGCCTAAAAGTGAAGGTGGGGATTAAAATTTAACAGAGAGAAGTT